CCGGCCATTTATAATGAGATGTAGTCCAATGGACGCGTCTTGCGACGCTGAGCTCAAATCCGTTTTCGTTATCTGCGGAACGATTCTCTGAAAGAAGTTACGGGGATTTTTCTCTTTGTGACTTTCCCACTGTGGCACCCTCTACATCACCTTAGCTCTTTCTTTATTTCCTGTGCAACTGCGAAAAGCTGTTTTGTTTTGATCACCATGTGAAGAACTATCACATATGCTCACGAATTATTGAAATTTTGTATATTTACGAGCCTGTGTCCTTGTGTTTTGTCCCGTGTGTCAAAGTTCATCATAATAGAAAACCTAAAAAGACGGACGAGAGGAAAATTCCAAAGTCTGTCTCAGCCACATGTCAAGTGGGGACGCAAATCAACAAAATAACCAAATATAGACACTTTTGGGCTCTCGTATGAGAAGCCATGAAAAAATGCAAAAACTTTGCGATTCTACGGATCGATCTGTGACTCCCTAATATGAGTAGGCAGATAGGCCAGGCCACTTGGCCATTGTCTTTCTGCTCTTCTTATGCGAACCTGTGGGGGATAGGGGAATGTAGAGGATGCCACAGTGAAAAAGCCATAGTGAGAAGATTCCCTCGTAACTTCTTTCAGAGAATCGTTCCGCAGATAACGAAAACGGATTTGAGCTCAGCGTCGCAAGACGCGTCCATAGGACTACATCTCATTATAAATGGCCGGACTGACCAGTTGAGCATTCCTCGTTAGATCGATAGAATATTCCCAATGTTGTTCGATCTGTCTAGCTTATCAGGAGTTACAGTAATGGAAGTTTGACCAAAAAACCGACGTTGACCAAAAAAAAATTTTTTTTTGGGAAAGGGTTTGGTGTTTAGGCCATGAAAAGGAAATATAACTTAATTTCTCTTCAGTGGTTATTCAGACGTTGTTGTTTCAGTAAGAACACAAATCTTCCCACACGAATCGGTTTGTATTCACTTCTGTTATTCCTTTTTATCAACATGTCTATGTTATTGAAAAGAAAACGAGGAATGAATTGAACAGACATATCCGTAAGGTCTGGAAAACGTCTGCCAAACTAAAGAATATTTGGCCTTTCTGTGAGCCATGTGGTTTTCAAGTATGCTAAAGTATGACCTATAGAATGAGTACAAAGACCTTAGGAATAAAGTCGCACAAGCGCAAAAAAGGATGACTTGGGTGGGACGCGTTACCGCGTCACAATGTCCCACGAGGTGCGCAAAGTGGGACGCGTTACCGCGTCACGCTGTCGTCAACGTTATTAGATACGAAGTTATACGAAATAGTTATGAGAAAGTTCGAAGAAGAGCTGTTTCTCCAAAATTTTGGTACAGGGGTTATTCATAGTGGGAAATCATTTGGTGAAAGTGGAAAAATCATCAGTTGGCTGCTGGTTTCGGAAATGCAATATTTGGGGATCTTGTTATCATGAACGAAGTACAGGGGTGGCAAAAAGACACTTGACTCCAACATTTCAGACAGCATTAATCACACTTTGCTAAAATCAAATCGACTGCCCCCAACTCAGTATTGGAGAGCACTTCTATCTATCTAAACCTTACATGATAGCCTTCTACACCGACGACATCAGAAGATTTTCCCACGGAAACATGGTTAACGGTATTGTGTTGGAGCTACGGGTCAGTCTAGTTTTTATGCGACCATAACGACGTTCTTGAAACGCTGGTCAAAAGCGGTTTTGCATAGTCACAGCTAATGTCTCTGGGAAGCTATTCGACAGTTAATCCATTGAAGAAATTATGTAGCAGCTTCAGGCCTGAGCGATTAGGGTAAGCCTCGTTGAGCTCGACGGTGGCTGCAGATGACGTTATATTCTGAAGATGGCGGGAGCAGTAGAAGAGTGCCTCCTTCTGTTCACAGGGGAACACCTAAGGAAATACTCGCCTGTAAAACTTTCGTTACATCGGCATCCTGTGCGAGAAGAAAAGTTCGATGATGTGCGCCATGGGCAAAGTGTCTTTTTTTTGGCCACCCCCTGTATATATATATATATATATATATATATATATATATATATATATATATATATATATATATATATATATATATATATATATATATATATATATATATATATATATATATATATATATATACAGGGGGGCCAAAAAAAGAGAGACACTTAGTCCATGGCGCACATCATCGAACTTTTTTTTTTTTTTCTTCAGTAATCCAAGTAAGTAGTAATATATATATATATATAGTGGATAGCACTATACATACTTTGGATTTGGTCCCGAAAAATTGTTTATCACGTGTTAAGTTAAGCAAGTAGAATGCGACAATGGATGCGGAATCTGGAAATGCCGTTGGAAAGGTAACTGGCGATGGTTACAAAGGCTTTTGATTTGAGACGCAGGTGAAGCGTACACTTACGCTGTATCTTAGCTTAATAATTTTTATAAGCTACGCCTTTCCTGAGAGAACTATGGTGCAGCTGCGTGCGCATGGACTGCGAAAGGATTATGAGTCTTTGTGCTGTTTATTCTGGCCTTCACACTTTGAACTTTTTGAGCGACTCCTTTCATTTCAATAACCTTTGCCGTGTAACTGTTTCACCATTCAAAACAGTCTTGGCATAAAACTTTACCTTGAGCTAATTTGTTTTGAATGAACTCCAACCATGGATCGTGTTGAGATTCCACTTTACGTTATCAGTTTTCACAAGACATGGATCACATCTCACTCCTGGGCTACAAGGAAAAGGTACTAGGCTCGTGCTCATGAGCAGGGTGAATAACGGTCGAGGAAATCCTCGACAGGGGGTCGTATTTGCTCCGATGAGAGTTGGGAGGGGGTCGTAATCAAAAGGTTCATCAACGGACACAACGGTGCTGCTGCCACTTATTTGCTGTCATCATTAGTTTCACAAGTGTTGTAGTTAGCCTAATGCAAATAATATCTTACAACTGTCTGGAATTAAAATTTAAATGGAAAGTGGTTGTTGGTTTGGTTCGTAGTGATCAGTATGGCATAGGAAGGCAACGCGTCCTGCAAAAGAATCGTAGGGAAAGGGCAGCGAGTATCTACTCTAGAATGATGTACATGCTTCGAGAACTTAGTGGAGGAACAGCATCTTGGTAGAAAGTTCAAACAGGCAGATTCGCAGCCTTCTTGGCATCATCAGATCCTGCAACCGCAAGCGTGTCATTCATCAGAACGGGTTGGAAAGGAAGCGATTTGAATAAAGGAATGATCAGACATCACTATGACCACAAGAGTTATTCTAATTAGTTAATACTGGAAATATCTTTTGGTGTGCTTAAGCAAGTCGTCACTAGGACAAAACACCTTCCCAATGACTCCGAGTGGGGTCACTGCATGGCGCATACAAGAACGGAATGGATCCTGCGCCAAGTGCATCATTTTCAATTTACTCCATCGAACTGACGTGTACAGAAGTATTTTGAAGGTGTTCAAAGAAGTTCCCTACTACGGCGAGGGAGTAATAGAGTTTTCGAGTGGCTTCGAAAATTTCCTTGACATTTCCTCGACGCAGATTTCTCGCGAACTAGAAAGCGTTCGAAACAACTGGAGCACCTATCAGAAAGCGTAAATCTTCTACTTTACAACGCTTTCCTCCGATTTTCAAAGCATTGCCAATGAAGACAGCTAACCTCGCGTGATGTAAATTTCATCCCTCAGTTACTTCGACGTGGCCCCATCGCGAGAATAAGTGTGCTTAGAAAAACGCTCAGCACATTTTAGAAACTGGAAAGTCTTTGTGCATTGTTAGAGTCCTTTAAATAGGGGGTACATTTGACGATTTTTCCAACTAGCGCGCTCTAGGCACAGCGCGCGACGCGATCGCGGGTAGTTAGCGCCGCTATACTGGAGCGCGAGACTGTTCAACTGTGTAGGGGCAGTACCTCCTTCAATGTTCTACTTTCCGGCCAATGTGGCAAAGGTTAAATGTCTTTAAAGGAAAGAAGAACCTAATCTGAGCAGAATTGAATCTAGCATTTGGATCAAGCCGCATTTGCGTGGCAGCGGCGCTGCGTCCCTCTCGCACATCTGAAACTAGCATTTTTTGATATGAAACCGGATGTGCAGAGGACAAAAAGGGGTCGTATCAGAGTCCATGTTTTGGAGGGGGGTCGTAAAGAGGCGGTTATTTCCTCGACACGATTTTCACCCTGCTTGCGGGGGCCAGCCGATGTTCAAGTCAGTGTATCCCAGACAAGTCTGGTACCAATTAACCGACCCCGGAGGGATGGAAGGCTTGGTTGGCCCGGGCGACTCACGACCCAGGATTTGATCCCCGGACCGCTCGCGTGGTAAGCGCGCCACTTGCCACTACACCACTTCCGCCCCAAGATGAACCCTTCATTGAAAAAAGGAAGATGAACCGTCAAAAACACAGAAAATAGACATCTTTGTCTAACATTGTGGTGGGGAATGAGCTGTAATTTTTATGTAACTCGGAACTCCAAGCGTCGTCCTCGGCCTTCTCCACTGCAATATCGGTCTTCCTTACTGCAATACCCAAATCTCGGATAACTATTATATTCATAATATATTTCGCAAAACATAGATACTGAAAAAAAAATTTCGAAAATCTCAAAAGACTCAATTCAGCGCTGTGCCAACTCGAAAATCGGAGCTGTGTGGGACTTTTGTTCTGCCTTGAAAGTGTCCATGCAAGGGGTGGCCTAATCCAGAATGATAATCGAGGCAGTCATGATTCCACGTCGTCGCACATTACAATGGAGAGACCTGCAGTGTTTGGGATAGTAAGCTGGATGAGCAAAAGCAAATCTAGCGAACAAAAGAGTAGCGCTTTGGTTAGCCCTGGTGTCTCGTTTGTTTATAACAAAGTACCCATAGATTGCAAATATGCTGTGTAGGTGAATACAATGTGTGAAACGATACGAATGACAAGTTTCGGATGAATCTGATTGAAATTAATGTAAACGAATGCTTGTTGGTAAAAGGGATGGATAGCGGCGTGATTATATCACAACCAGAATGACGATCATCGCCACAGCGCTGTCCATACTCCTCCTCGTGGATGTCGCCTTGCAAGGTATGTGCGTTTATTAGACTGGGTCAGGACCCAAAGTTGATGAGCTTGACTAGGCTTTTTCTTCATGTCCATTCAATAAGCATCACTGATAGCATCTCGTTCCAGAAGTGGAGAAGCAAAAGGTTATGCACAAGAGCAGGTGCCTCAAACTCGGTTCAATGCGGAACGTGACTATCGGTGTAATTCGCAATCATAGTGATGAGGTTAGTGTTAGTTTTTTGAAGATGAAGCATGGAGATATCAGAGATGCGTAGTGTGCAGAGTGTGCCATAAATGCGGTCAGAATATACAGTTTACTGGGTACACGACTGGTTGAAACTTTCAACGCGTAGATCATCATAAAGGATGAAGGATAATGCATTTGCCGTTGATCAATCCCTTTTGAGATGCGGCACCAGGACTCAAAACTCGACGTGTAAGCGCTAACGGTTCCTCCGTTCCTGCTAGAAAAAATGTATTTAAGTAAGCACTAGTACAACTGCCGAGGTTCCACAGCACGAAATCCGTCGGAGAGTTACTCGCTGAGGAGCAGCAGTCCGGACAAGAAGCAGTCATGTCTAGCATTCTGCGGCCATTCCATATTTACAGTGTAAGGTGAATAATTGTGTAGTGTAGGCCTTTGCATTTTTCAAGAATTGCATCTTTTCATCATACCGCCTGTTTCCATGTGTATGGCATTCTACACGCCTGCTAACTTTGATAGCTCGGGAGCGCCTTCTCTACTGAAGGCAGATTTCACGATGAAAAGAGCCCATTGGAAATTAAGTTAGAGATGGTCAGTGATGCACGAAAGAAGAAAAACCGAGAAAATGGCCTAGAACCCGAGAAATGGAGCCCTTCCTTGCCCGTTGATTTGCGCATTGATGCGACTCTCATCGATACTGCCCTCTTCAACCTAAAGTTCTTTCTGCTGTATAATTAGCGATGAGCGGCGCGACAGGGAGCATACCGGGCCAATTGCGTGTTAGCTGGGCCGACGGAGAAGGCCATGTAGATCGCCAAGGGCATCCACTTCGATGCGAATTACCCGTCGGTCCGCACCCTTAGGAGGTCCGCCTGCCTCTCCACTAGGTGAGCTTCCTATTCTTCGACCGTGCTTATCGTGGAATCCTCCTTTGAATAAGTATGAGGGCATCATTTAATTTTTCTGCCCATTCCTTAAGAGCTGAGCCTGTTTTCAGTCGAGATTTTTTCCATTACTAAGAGTTTGACCAGTAAGTTGTCTCCGGGAGTATTTCAACCCGTTGAGCACAAATATCACACCAGTTTAGCGCCAGAGGGCCTGACGCGGTATCAGAAGCGCCCACATTCTCGTGCCAAATTGGTGTGATACTAGCTCGCAACAAACTATACAGACTCGCAACAAACTGATGTGATATTCATGTTCTACGGGTCAAAATACCTCTGAGGACAACTTTCCAGCGAATTTGGGGATCCGAGATGTTCTGGCGCCTTTTGGCGCCGGCGCTTCTGGCGCGAGCGCCAGGCGTTTAGCGGCTAAACGAATGTGATATTTGTGTCCTACAGATATGGAGAAACTTTGTAAAAAAATTTAGCCCAGTTCTTGGGGATGGCGCCCACTGGGTGAACGGATAAATAGCGGCACCCATTCTCTTGGTTGAAATTTTCGATTGATCGAAACTGACGAATTAACAGCGACAGAAGTCTAGGACAGAGATGTCTCTGAGGCACCAAATTGAATTCAACTTTGCTTAGGTGAGAATACTCAGACTTCTCTTCCCAAACAGCGCCATTGTTGAGACAGCCAGTGAATAGCAACACAATTAGCTGAAATTTGAAGCGCTTGTGCTGAAATCGCCTCCTGTATGGTGTTATGCCATTTTGGAAGGCGCCCCAGCAAGCAGTGGAGTTTGTGAGAGGTATTGAACACGATTCGACTCCTACAAAAGCTAGCGAAGTCGGCACCAATCGTCAGTCAAGAGGAAGCGTGGCGTTTCCTCACACACAGAGCATCAAGCACCGCATCTATCGCATGATTTTTTTTTCATTTCTGCTGGATCAATTGACACAACTACGTTCGTTTTCTGAAGCAGTAACTTTCACCCTATCGGGATTCGCGTGCCCATATCTTCTTGTATCCTAAACTTATTATCTGAATAATACAAACACTGAAATCGTTATTACGGATTCTGAACACTTCACCTTTTTAAAAGTTGTAATTACCATTGAACGCATCAAGGAATTTTCTAACAATGTATCTGGAATGATGAATTATATACAGGGATGGGATGATTGGTACGCTAAGCTGGCTTGGAGAAAAATGAAGATGTCACAAGAAGCCGTTGCCACCTGGTTGCAGATCGATGGCTGAAATGTTGGTATTCACCGGAGAAGATCTAAACAAAAAAATGTCACGAAAAGTACGCAAGGTCCTGAGGAGCAACTGGAAATTCAGAGTAGTAAGTAACATGTTCAGTCCCTCTCATGGTCAGTGTAGAGAAATGTATGCACAACAAGTGGAGTAGAACCAAACAGCATTTTCAATGCGTACATAAATGGTGAGCGAAGTGCTAGTCAACATTCGTGCCGGGCGACTTCAAATTGCACTCTAAATTTGTTTCTGCAGTTTGCAAGTTTGTATTGGCATCAGAATTTGTAATATTGTGGCAACTTTGGGCATCATAGTGTCAAGCGAGGGTATGTACCTTTAGTGGGGGCCATTTGCTAGTGAGGGGAATTACTGTCGCGACGTCTGGTCCCTAATCTAAGATTCGTTCATTTCGATGATGGGTATTTTGGTTGGGATTAACACTGCCTTACTGACTTTGTTCAGGCTAACGTACATGGATGCAATAATGGATTGCAACCTGCAATCACTGAATCAACAAACTATGATGGCAGTGATGGTGACTTGTTCTACCCTGAACACAAACTAATTTTACTTGAATAATTTACTAACTTTTGCTTATTTTCTATTTTCTCTGAGTAATCTTATCGTTAAGTTTCTGCAAATGCAACTTATCAATCAGGATTGAATCACGGAACTTGTTGGACTTAGGGGCCGATCCGAACTAATGGAAGGACGTATACCCCAGCCACTATCGCGCGCAGAAGCAGAGTCGGTGGACGAGTCGTGGCGCGTGATGTGCGATGAAGGAGGTACAGTGGGACATCCTATTTAACTTGACGCGATTTCCCTAATACGCGCGCGACTCGTCCGCTGACTCGGCCTTCTTGCCGCGCGACGGGCCTCCTGGGGGGCCCGGAGACGAACTCGTTATTGTTGCTGAACGTCTCCAGCAGGGTCAACCGTCCGTTGGACAAAGTCCAACGCGACGACGAGAGTAATGCCGAGAGTGAACGTACGCACGGAGACACAGACGGCTCGCGGGTGGCGAGAGTGAATGCCGGCGCGGAGAGCGGTGAACATCGGTCCAACGTCGCTCCAATATCGGTCCAACGTAACGGTTGACCCTGGTCATTGTCAGAGAAAAATTGTGATGGTGATTGCTCACATCCACCACTTCAGCTCTGCACTCCATCGCACGTATCATACTTAGTTCCAGCAAAAATGGAGAGCTATGAAAAGGTCAAACCAGGGCATTGCAAATATATTGCTTGCATCAGCGGGGCGCTGACGTTCTACGAAACAGTTATGTCAACAAGTTACAGTGTCATGCCGAGCTTACGCAGCTGAACTGGCATTTTTTATGGCTGGATTTCAACAGGTTGATGATCCTATCAATTTTAGTGTTGAAAAGCTATGAATTGGGACACTCATGTCTGAGAGCGCCATGTAGTCCTTCTTACTTAAACTACGCCTTAATCCCTGGTCTTCCTCATTTGTTAGTCATTAACCAAGAGGCTCCGTACACTCACTCAAAGCTCTGCTATGCAGAACCGAAATCGTGCACGTTTCCTGGAATCAGCGACGCCGGGCGGGTTTCGTTCACTTCAGCTAACTTCGCAATTGGAGACAGAGCTGTGGACAGCCGTTTGTCGTCCTCCCGAATTCGCATATTCCCTTGTTAAGCGCCAGGTTCGCGCTATTCAATGCATCTCTGTTCACTCAAAGCATCGATGTTCACCTAGTGCATCAGTGTTCACGAAATGCTTTGCAGCTCACAGTCGGGCACCATCCATCCCCTTCATTTTTATCGCAGATTTGTGTGAGTACTGGTTGAACAAGTGGCTGAGCAGAATCATAGAAAATTGTCCTCTCTTGGGAGAAATTAAGACTTAATTAGACCTGAATCCGGGTTTCATTGCCGATAAGATTAAAACTGCACAAACACTATACAAAAGGGGAATAACACATGGAAGAAAAACGAGAAAAAAAAGAAGTAAAGCAGAAAAGAATGGGCGGGAACTACGTGAACAGCAGATTCGAATTAACAAGTCCACAACTCTCGCGACGTCTGAGGGAAGTATATCCCGTACGCTAGAGCGGCTTAGGCTTTTCGAATGGGTGGTCGCCACAATTTCAGCCGCTACCCCTGCATTTCACTATCTCCCCATCTCCATGATCTCCGTTACAACCTTTCCAACTTGATCGGCCAGATGACTGTTGACTGCGGTTGGAGGTGGGTGACGTTTTTTGGAGCCAAAGCAGGGAGGAGATTGTGTATAGATCGAAACTGATGGAGATGCTTCATTGGAATATTTGTGATGCTGAGAAAACAAAAATTTAAGTGGAGGCGAAACGAACATAGTCTGGAATTTTCAGCCACGAACTTTCCGAGATAGGGCGGCCAGAAGATCCAGTTCCTGTGCTGAACAGTCAGGCCATTCTTCCAACCGTCGTTCGAAGTGCCACGGGATGGAATTGAATCAACCTGTGAAATTTACAAATTCTAGCAAGACTAGATGCTCATGGCTATTCAAAGCTTGTACAATCTTCCACGAAGAGTTTGCGAACATCTGGTCATAAGTTTAGTAAGTGTTCCCGCATGGGATCCCGTCCCCCATCGAGCCCGTAGTGCACGTTCCAGACGTGCTCGCGGGAATAAGTGTGGCACCCGTAATTTAGGTACCACATCTAGTAGGAAAGTTTTAGCCCAATTCGAAATTTGACTTAA